CTGCACCGCGGCCGCGGGGCACAGGGTGGCGCTCGCCGCCCGCGCAGAAGGCACGGCGGCCGCGGAGACTCGGCGCGCCCGGAGGCTTAGCAGCGGGGCGCCTACCCGAGGCCGCTGGGGACCTTCCCGAGAACCGCCTGCGGGTGGAGGGCGCCGAGCCGGCGAGGAGCGTGGGGGCGAGACCGCGGGCTGGTGGTGGTTTCCAGAGGAGCGAGGTACTCCGCAGAGCCCGGCCACCGCCAGACCCTTCAGCAGAGCCTAAGGCTGCGCAGCCAAACTGGAGGACGGACTCAAACAAGAACCCAAGTGCTTGGAAAGATGGCTTTCAAGTAGCCGTAAGGGGCAGGTTGCAGCGAGCGCATTAAGCCTGGGTCTGAGTCGCTGCGAGCCCTCCTCGCTGTTCCCCAGGAAGGAGTCCCGACTCTGCTAAGGAGCCAAAGCCAACGGAGAAAGCTGCTTCCCTGCCGCCAAGAGACCGCACGGAAATTAAATTAAACACGCGTCCAGGGACTACAACAAAATAGACTCTCTCCCTCCCTCCCGCAGCAGGGAATTAACGTTCAGTTCCCAGGCAGGGTCTGCAAGGTGCAGGAGCCAGGGGCTGAGTCCCGGACACCCGGGGATTTCTGCCCTTCCCCTAATCCGGAAGCAGGAAATAGGGGCACAAGCACATTCTGCATCTTCGTCTTTAAATCACAGCCACCATTGTGTTGAGCAGAGCCTGTGGAAGACGGCAGTCGGGGAACTACCGGGTACTCTCTTCATCTCCTCAGTCAGTCGTACAATTTTGAGGCTATTTTGGAAAAGAAGGGCGCTGGGGGGGGTGTGTTAAAACCCGAAGCTGTAGTTATTTTAATTGGAGGTGAAAATAAATAGAAATGCCTGCTTAGACCCAAACTGTCTTTTTTTAAAGACAGTAAAATTTTAAACCATACTTTATTCAAATATATTGGGATCAAATTAGTACCTCATTTTTATGAAAAAACAATCTCTACTGTCTTAAAAATATCCTCTACCTGAGGATATTTAAATCTACACTTTCCCTATACTTTTTTTTTTTTTGCCTTAATTTACCAGTCGTCTGACTTGTCAAGCAATCTTCTATAACGAATAAACCTTTTCGATACATTTTTCCATTCTGGTGTCTTGACCAGATCTACGGGAGACAGTATGTGTGGTGGGGCTATCCACAGCCTTAAGACGCAGGCGCTCCTGCGCACTGCTGCTCCAGTGCTTACTTGCAGGTTCCTAGCCAAGGAGCCCAACGGAGAAGGTGTGCCAAGAGTGGGGTGCCCGAGCAGTGGGGCGAGCCGCCTACCCGGGGACATTCTCTAGCGTCTCCCCGTGCGAGAGCAACTACCTTAAGTTAGGTATCTTGCATAGCGTATCGTAGCTGATACAGTCCACCTCCACCAAACCAGTCACCTACCTAAGTGAACAAGCTCATCTGAAAACAAAAGGGATAAAGAAGACAGGAAAAAGCAGGGAGGGTGGGGAAGTTAAGCCTCAAGCTTGGGGAAGGGTTGAGGGAGGAACGAGAAAGGCTAGCTAGCTTGGGGAGCCAGTGCCTTCCCAGCCTCAGAAGGATCGCGGAAACCTACAGGCCTGACCTCTGGGTCAACAGCTAGTTTGACTCTACCTTGATCTGCAAGGCAGAAGCTTGTCCTTTGGTTCAAAGTGACAGCCACTCTTGGCTTCATGGGGAGTGAGTTTCTAGCCATTATCAGAAAACACAGAAAAGAAGCCCTTTTGTGTTTCATCTTCCATCCTCCCCAGGGACACATGATGTTCAGCCCCCAAAGAGGGAGTCTACCCACTCTGTGCTAAACTAAGTTAGAAAAGCTGCTTCATGCCAAGCAAAACAAACTAAAGCCAGCCCAGACCCGGAGCTAAAGAAAGTGAAAGTTCCAACACCTGCAACACGAAGCTGAGCCCTGCTCTCTGCACCCCAAAGAAACATTCTTCCAGAAGCATCCCTCCTTGGCACAACCCACCTCTCAAACCAAGTGTTCATTCCTGTAAGTATACCAAGCAGCTGTCTTCTTACCTGCCTCTACATTAACTGCAGAACTGGCCTCTCCGTGTCCCCCGGCTGCTGCAAGTGTCAACAAAAAAGAAACAAACTGTGTTCTGCAATATCCTAGGGGAAAAAAAGGGACAGACTATTTTATTTTTCTTAGTGACTGTTTCTTAGAGCCACATTATCCCAAAATATCAAAAATGATTTCTTTATCTAAAACCATAAGGGCTTGAGGCATATAGACATATAGACATATTTGCATATAAGTGCATACAGACAGCTGGATAAAGGCTCTCTACTCCTTGGGCACCAACTGTATTATTATACAACAGAATTGAACTACAAACCTCCAATTGCTTTGCCCAGACTTTATATAGCATTTATTACCTCCTGTATTTTTTTCATTTGTTTCTGATGTATTATGACTTCACATAAATTTCAGTGAAAAACTTTCAGTTCAAGATGAATACCAACACTGAACTGAGAGCGAGGAGCATGCAAACAGAAAGAAAGAAGCTAAACTTATTAGAATCTCAACACACTAACTTTTTATTAAGTTTGATTCAAAATAATATTAATCTAATAGTGAAATAGTTTGATATAACATCAGTCAACATTTAAAGAATATTATGTTTCAAAGTATGGCTCCAGGAACACCCATTGCTTAAATGCACTTAGACATAACAAGACAATGTTTTTTTTATTGGCATCGTTGACACCTTTGAACAATAGCCTCATAGACAGATTAAGGTTTAACCTTCCTTTTCTTTGGTGGCTGTTTAGAGACTTTTAAAAAACAGAAAACTCATTTCAACAGTAATCTACTGATATTTACTCTGCAGAATATTTAGCTGAGACACAGAATACCAAACAATAAGCTTTTGTTAGCCTGATCCCCTCACCCTCCTAACAGAAGTTATCCCCAAATCATGCTTTTGTTTTAGATATATTGATCTCCCATGTAAGTCTCGGCCTTTAAAATACTAAACGCAATCAAAGGCCGACAACCTGACTCCTTATGGAGACTGAGAAGAAAACAGCAACATGAAATGTCTTTGAATTGTTTGTGCGTTACTCCAAGTTTTAAGAGGTCAACAAATCCTGGTGCTATGAGCTAAATATGAGTGAATAATTAATTACATATTTTAGACACTATAATCTTTATCTTGGTAAACAAGGAAAACACAGCTCTGCCAAACAGACCTTCCACCTACATAATATCTTAAAGGCAAGTACTTAAATATTACCACAAAAGGGTCATATTTTGTTTAAATTAGACATTAAAACTGAAGATAAAATGTAAATGCCCATAGTTTTAAAAGGGGAAAAAAATACAAATTAACTGACCTAGTCTTTTATCTCAGTTTATTAATACCATTTAAAATATTACAAATAAATCCATTACATTTCATGCATTTAAAATGCAAGTCTAAAATGTTCCAGAGAAAGGCTTTTCATTTCAATGTGAAATATCCAAATTATTTCAACATTACAATGAATAGTTAGTTTGCAGACTCTGCAAACAACACTTAAATGTAGTGTCAGGAGTATTTGTCAACAGTTAACAATATCACCTTCAGGAAATACACAAAGGCCAAAGTTAGTCGAGAATCACTTGGACAATTTATTTAATACATGGGTTTGGCAGACCCCATTATTATGAAGTATAGGAGAACTCTCACTTTAACTATGCCTGAACTGCCAGCAAATGCAAATAAGTACATGCGCCATTAAATTAACTGTCATCCAACATTTATCAAATAGTGTCTTAGTTACAGCTTGAAACCTATCTAAATTTATATTCGAGCAAAACTAGGCCCGGAAAGTGCGTGTGTGGTTCTGCACCTCCAGAATTGAGTTCAAAAAAACCTGCAGCTCATCAGAACCTCAGCAATAACTCTTAATATTTTCTTCTGACGAAAAAGAAAAAAAAAATCAAGTTTACTTCAATATATTTTCAAATATTTACCGGAAGTAATGTACAAGAAAAATACTATACATAATCGTCTCCTGGACAATGCACCTCACACCTCACACCGGCGGAGTCGTGTCTAATGAGAAACTAATCTAGAACGATTTTCCAGTTGTACAAACCATTAGGTTCAGATATATTTTACAAAGAATTAAAAAAAAAAAAAAAGCTGTTTCCCTCTTTTGGCATTTAAACTACAGCCTCATCTGAAATAAACGATAGGTTCTTCACTTGAGTTTAAATCACACACCAAAAAAAAAAAAAAAAAAAAGGTTTAATCCTAAAAAATTCAAAGACTTGCAATAATTTACAGAAATGGGTAGATATACTGACTCCTGGACTAACCCAAAAGAGAGGGAGGAGAGGAAGTTGGGAGAATATGGTCGGGGATGGTGAAAAAACGAGGTAGAAAGGGCACACATGAAGATGGCTAATCTGGTCTCACCGGAAAGGGGGTATTTGCATAAGAAAAAGATATCTAGCCTCACTCCCACCCCCACCCCATAAATTACTGTGATCAAAATAGCTTGGGATCAATATTAGCGGTCTGGAGAGAAAGACGTGCTCGCAGGCAGAGGAAAACCTGTCTAAACCGGAAGCTAAGAGCAAGGTTGCTTACTTGTTTTTTTTTCCTCTCGGTTTTTCAGTTAAAAAACAAAACAAACAAACAAACAAAACCCAAAAGTTACAAAGGTGAAAGAGGATGGCAACATTGGTTCGCGTTCGCAGAACTCACGTCGGCTCACCCGCACGGCACAGAGTCCTCGCAGAGCGGAGAGGCTACACTCTGCTCCGGGGCTGGGCAGTGCGCCCAGGGGGCGTCCTCGGGGCCCGGCTCCGGCCGCCGTCGGCGGCGCTCTTCTCCTCCGGCAGCCGGCCAGGCCCCCCGAGTCCGCGCCCGCGCCGCAGGTGGGGCTCCCCGGGCCGCCGTGCGGAAGGGCGCCGGGAGAGGGAGGCCGCGGAGGGGGAGCGCGGGGCGGCGGGCGCGGCCGGGCACACGCGCCGCCGTCACTCCAGGCCGTTGCGGTGGGCCGGCTCGGGGGGCGGCAGCAGCTCGGGGGACGGGCAGGGCGGGCTGCCCGCCGCGCTGTGCTCGCTGTCGGTGTCGCTGCCCTTCTTGCCGCCGCCCGGGCCGGCCGGGCCGCCGCCGCCGCTGTGCGTCTTCACGTGCTTGCTCAGGTGGTCGCTGCGCATGAAGCGCTTGTTGCACACGGGGCAGGCGAAGCGCTTCTCGCCCGTGTGCGTCCGCAGGTGCCGCTGCAGCTCGTCGGAGCGCGTGAAGCGCTTGCCGCAGAAGAGCCAGTTGCACACGAACGGCCGCTCGCCCGTGTGCCAGCGCAGGTGCGCCTTCAGGTGCGACGTCTTGCCGTAGACCTTGCCGCAGCCGGGGATGTGGCAGCTGTGCAGCCCCTTGCGCCGCAGGCTGGCGCCCGCCGGGCCCAGGCGCTCGGCCTCCTGGCAGTTGGGGCAGTCGCAGGTGGCGCGGCCCGAGTAGCGGCGCGCCGACGAGCGCGGGGAGCCCCCCAGGGGCGCGGCGGGGCCCGCGCTCAGCACCGAGCCGCCCGCGCCGGCCAGCGGCGACGGCGCGGCGTCGGGGTAGGAGCCGGGCAGCACCGGCTTGAAGCCGTCCATGAGGTGCTGGCCCGCGGGGCTGAGCAGGTGCGACGAGGCGCCGCCGCCGAAGGCCGAGTGGCCCAGACCCGAGTACTCCGAGTTGTAGCCGCCCAGCGGGGAGTGCAGCGACGTCTGCAGGCCGCCGGCCGCCGGGTGCAGCGAGCCGGGCAGCGCCGCCGCGCCGTTGGGGTTCTGCACGTCGATCCAGCCCGCGCCCACGTCCCACCAGCTGGAGGCGCCCGCGGAGCCCACGTCGCCCGCGGCGGCGAGGCCCGGGTGCGAGGGCTTGAACCACGACTCGTAGGGGTGCGCCATGCCCACGCGCGGGTAGATGCCCTGCAGCCCGTCCACCGACGCGTGCACCTTGGAGATGAACACCGGCTGGTGCGAGCCGTCCTGCGAGTGCGCCCCGGAGCCGCCGCCGCCGCCGCCGCCCCCGCCGCCGCCGCCGCCGCCGCCCCCCGACACGCCCGGCGCCGGGAACACCGAGTAG